CTGACTCGAACAACAACCTGCATCCCAACCAGTGGTACCGGTTCATCACGCCCATTTTCCTCCACGCCGGTCTAATTCACATTGTCTTCAACATGCTCGTCCAAGTGACGGTAGGACGAGACATGGAGTTGCTAATTGGACCAATCCGCTTCGCCTTGGTCTACATTGCCGCGGGAATCTTCGGCAATGTCTTGGGAGCGAACTATGCCCCGAACGGCATGGCCTCCACGTAAGTCGCGTTTCTTTGTCCCGAGCGTGCAGTTCAGCTGCTAATGCAGATTCCGACTCAGTGGTGCTTCTGGAGCTATTTTCGGCATCATCGCGCTCACGCTGCTGGATCTTCTTTACCACTGGAGAGAGCGCCCCAAGCCGATTCGGGAGCTATGCTTCATCGCTCTCGACATCATTATTGCGTTTGTGCTGGGTCTTTTGCCAGGCCTTGACAACTTTGCCCATATTGGTGGCTTCATTATGGGGCTTGGGCTGGGCATTTCCATTCTGCATTCCCCGGGTCCCCTCCGCGAGCGCATCGGTGTCGACGATCCTCCATATAGCGCCGTGCCTAATCCAAAGGATCCCGAGAACCGTGCCGAGGGGATCAAAGAGTTTACGAGGCAACCTGTAGCCTTTTTCAAAGGCCGCAAGCCTCTTTGGTGGGCGTGGTGGTTGTTCCGGGCTGGAGCTCTCGTTGCCGTGATTGTGGGCTTTATTGTTCTCTTGAACAATTTCTACGTCTACCACAAGTCTTGCAACTGGTGCAAGCACCTGAGCTGTCTGGTGAGTTTGTTTGGGATAATGTCCGTCTGGACTCTGCTAACAACTTGACGTAGCCCGTCAAGAACTGGTGCGACATTGGCAATATCGAGCTGTCGACAACCTCGTCGAACTCCAAGCGCGATCTCTTTGGCATCATGAGAGATTTCGAGTATGGCCAAATGGCCTCGCCGTCATTGTAAAATCGACATGGCACTTTCATCCATATCCGGGGCTGTTCTCGTTCCTTAGCATCTCGCAGATCTCGCTCATTTGGACCGGGTCATTTTATTTCTTCTTCTTGTCCATCTTCTTTTGGGCTTTTTTTCATGATTCCCTCCACCCGGATCCACGACGAAAGCATGAATACTCAAGCATGGCGGGGGCGTTTTGCGTTATTTAGCGAAGCTTCTCAGCCTTCCCTGGATGGGCTGCCAGGGTTGGACAGTCTGGTTGTAGCGGCATGGCCTTTTCTTTTTCGGAGTCGACTGGAGGTCTCGAAGTGCTGTGTACGCAGGCGCCATGATGCTTTGCCAGTGCAGGGGACGACGATAGGTTCGTCCAAAATGACACGAGGCGTGTTGGGTTGAAAACTTTGAATGCTCGTCGTGCATGTTATTTTTGGCTGTTGTCGCTTGAATCTCTGCAAATAATCTGTGGAGGATCGCCATGTGGATATATGCTTATAGCTTGTATTCATGGGCTGGTGGCTATAAATACCGGAGATGCTGGAGCAGATGTATGGGGTGAGAGTGAATGACGAGCCTTTGTGATTAGTGCATGTGAAGCTGAAGGGAGCCATGATCTGTACACCGGTGAGGTTAAAGTGAGGTCAAGTGAAATAAATGCCCAAGTCGAGTGGCTCTGCCTCGGAGACAAACACGGCTGCACGCGGTGATGCGCTGCTAAGGGACGTGCCGGCCGCCTCCCCCCGGGCAGCAGCTAGCTCACGCCGCCTTGGCCCAACCTTTCAACTCTTCTTCTTCGTCGGGGCCCTGCGGACCCTTTCTTGCCTCGTTGCCTCGACACCTCCGACACCAGCCATGTCTGCCACCCTCATCGGCATCAACGTGCTTGTCACGCTCAAGCAGCCGCCAAACACGGTTGTGCAGGGCAATGTTGCCAATGTCGTCGAGCAGACAGCAACCCTGGTCTTGCAGGACGGTATGTACTCGACCATCCGGGCCTCTCTCAGCCCAACCTAACGGCTGACCCTGCATGCAGTGTGCTTTCCGGCTTCCGGCCACCGCTTGCCCAGCTATACCATTGCAGGTGTCCACATTGCCGACATTTCTGTCCACCAACCCTCGCTGCCGCCTCAAACCGCACCTCCGCCTTCTTATCCTCCCAGCAATGCCCCCAGCTTTCCGCCCTCGATCCCGCCGTCTGCCCCTGCACCTGCTCCTCAGTATGCCCGGCCAAGCGCAACGCCTGTCGAGGTGCCGGCACCGGCCTCAAAGCCGAAACAGAATTTTGTGGACCCTGCCATTCTGAGCGTGGGCAAGAAACCAGCTTCGGGCGCCTCCACAGCCCACGAAGTACCCTCGACGCCGGTCAAGCCTGTCGACGCAATTCCCCCTCCGACCTTGCCAAGGAACAATCCCCATTTTCCTCCGCCGGCGAAGAAGCCGTCGGTCAGCGCCAAGACGACCAAGTCAAAGGAGGACCCCGCCACCCTGACGGCGCCGTTTGATGCCTTGGGGCTCGAGAGCGGAAGCGATTCTGGAGATTCGACGACAAATGAGGGGTATAAGCCAAGGATCAGCATCGATCAGACGCGGACTGGGAAGCCAATGGAAACTCCGCTCAAGGGTGACGAGGGGAGGAGGCGCAAACGCGGCGGGCGAGGGGGCAAGAAGCAAAGAGAAGACCAGCTGTTCCCGCCAGAACGTGAGGCCGCTGCTCCACAATTGTCTCCTGAGACTCAACGGAAGACTCCAGCCCACTACAAGGGCAAGGGATGGAGGCAGACCCCAATGTTGCAGGACAATTCTGCTGCTCAGCAAACACCTGGCCTGATTGGTGGCAAAGTCGGCCGTGATGCCGTCAAAGCCTCCAACAAGAAGAGCAGGCGCCAAAAGGCTATGGAGGCCACGAATGGTTGGGCGACGGAGGATGCCACGGACGTTCAGGAACTGCCAGACTTTGACTTTGCCGAAAACTTGTCCAAGTTTGACAAGCGCTCAGTCTTTGAACAAATTAGAAACGAAGACACGACAGCCGATGAGGAGCGGCTGGTAAGTTTCAACCGCCTGCAGCCTCGTGCTGGAACCGCCGGTGGCAAGAATCTCCATCCTACAGAAAACGTGCTGGAGCAACGCCGGACTCGTCGGCGGGGCTCCTCTTCCAGCTCAAGTGAGGAGGAATTCTCCGACTTTGACAGCGGGCGCAACTCCCGCCGCAATAGGTCATTGGCATCGACAAAGCGTGTTCCTTTCCGCTCCAACAGCGCGATCCAGGAAGACATTATATCCGCACATCCTTCCAACCTCACCAAATCACTCCGATCACAAGGACACCGTGGATCCAACGCCTACTCGTCAACAAATAGCCCTGTTCCCGGCCGTCCAACCCCTCCGTCTTCGCCGTCGCTTTCTCTCTTCCCGCAATCGCATCCTGCGAAGCTGCGCGTCATTTCGTCTGGCAAGAGCTGTGCAACCATTTCCCCTGGTACGATGACGGCCTTGGAGGAGTTGGCCGAGGTCGACTATCTCATCACAGAAGAGCAGCTGGCTGAAAACGCCGGTCGGGGTATCGCACAGGTTGCGCTCTCAGCCGTAAACCCGGGGGGGCGGCGCCTCGCCCGCGAAAATCTCGCCATCAACGCTCGTCCGGTCGTCATAGTCCTCGCGGGCAATCACCGCACAGGCGCACGTGCCATTGCTGCGGCCAGACACCTCCACGCGCGTGGTCCTCGCGTTTTTGTGGCACTACTGGGCTGCGAGCGACCAGCCGACTATGAGAAGGATGTGCGGCGCCAAGTCGACATCTTCAGACGCTTCGGTGGGTACGTACGCAGCTGGAGCGACCTTCACCGCGTCCTCAAGCGCCTGGAAGCACCGCCCGAACTCATCGTCGACGCGCTGCTAGGCCGCAACAAAGAGTTCGATGCGCTGGGCCCGCAGGACAAGGAAACGGCGCTGGCCATCGTCGGCTGGGCCAACAAGAGCCGAGCCAGCGTGCTCGCCATCGAGGCGCCGTCGGGCATCAACAACTCGACGGGCGAGGTGTCGATTCTCGAGGGCGAGCCGCTCGAGGTGCGGGCCAAGTACATAGTGTGCCTCGGAGCGCCGCGGACGGGCCTGCTGCGCGCGCTGCAGCTGGGCGACGGCCGCGACCCCGAGTGGCTCGTCTGGGTCGTCGACCTCGGCCTCAACAAGCCGTGGCGCCGGCTGGGCGGCCCGGGCAAGAAGGGCGTCAAGTTTGGCAGCGAGTGGGCTGTTGCTGTCCGCTTTGATACCGGCGACGCCGAGGTCGAGGAGGAGGTCGAGGTGGTCGGAGCAAGGTGAGGTGGTGATAAATGAGTAGGGAACCGAAAATACGGCATACCACTAGGATTTTTGGTTAACGAAGTGGTGGGTGGATGGCGTTTTTGGGCGCGTGGGACCTGGTAAAAGTCGACACGCGGCGACCGACTATGCAGACATGATGGTGGATCAAACAATCAATAGCACTTCAAACTTTTGCACGCACATCTAACGTCTTTCCATTGTTCTTTTTCCTTTTTGTCGTTGTTCTTGCTGCTGCCCTTATCGTGTAAGACCAATCGAACGTGGGAGGGCATACATACATATCATACATATCCCATGATAAACGTCCGCCCACCTCCCTTTTCTATCCACCCGGGTCAAATGGTCGATCAACCCGGTTTGCTGATACAAAACGATGCATCTCACTCTTCCCTTATCATGTACGTTTTTCAGCCGTCCCCCACCTCGCCCGCTTTCTCCTCACCCAGCGGCCCGTTCCCCCTCCCCCTTATCACTGAGGCAGCGTCCCTCCCGCCGACCCACGACGATCGTGCCTTTCCCCAATCTCATCATGCACGCGTCTTTCCTACCTACCAGGTACCTAGTGGCCACGAGTCACGACCTGAGGCCAGGGAAGATAGGTACCTTAGCGCACAAGCAGCCGCGTGCAGGCGGGCGCTCAGACCACCTACATGATTCGGCACCCACCGCACCCACCGCACCCACATTAGAAAGAAAAAAAAAAAAAAAAAAAGGAAAGGTGCAAAAGAATCTTGTTGATGAGGACGAGACTTGAACTCGCGCGGATTGCTCCACCAGGAAACAATTGGATTCAACTTTTTTTGTGTTGTGAATCGCGCTTTTGTTGTAATTGCTAAGATTGAGACCTTAACCTGGCGCCATAACCAACTCGGCCACCTCACCTGCTGATGGATGAGGCGGTGGGAAAGTGTGAATATGTTTGTAGAGCGGCTTAAGGGGGTGAACAGGGGGGAGGGGAGTGAGTGATAGTGTTGGGAATTTTCGTCGGAGTCGTGTGAGGTGGGCTGTGTTAGCTGTGCTGTCGGGTCCGGGTGCGAAGGGGGAAATGGATGGAAGAAAGGGCCGAGGTTGCGCCATCTATCCATGTGCCTGCCTTGATCCCATCACGGATTGATTGATTGATTGTTTTATGTCTCGCTGGAGCCGATTGGCTGTTCAAGACGGAGTTATCTACAGGGGATGCCGCGTACGTCTATGTTTGTGTAGGGATGCCCGGCTGAAGAGTCTCGTACAATAAGGAAAGTTTCTCGGTGCTATGTCGTGTAGGGGTAGTCCAGGTGGATAGTTCGTCCGGATCTCTCTTTCGGCGAGGGGGGGTCGGATCCCATCACGGAGAAAAGACGAGACATTGATTGCTTCTGCCTCAGGGAAAGCTTGCAGACGGATTGGTTTTGAAAGGGATGATATGAACCCGAGTGTCCGTCGTCATTTGCTTGCATCGCAGGTCTGCTAGAAAATGTTGACCTTCTCTATCGAGGCCATCGCGGTAAGACTGAAAGACTGAAAGTGTGGTGATGTTGGATCAAAACTCTGCCGTCATTCCACTCTGTGTCCTTCTCTTCTTCCAACGCCAGAATAGGAGATGCCGGATCTAGCATCGCTTGCGCATCCACAGTTCAAACCAAGCACATGCATCTCATCTCCATTGCTAGCCAACGGACGGCACGATGTGCGACTACTGCGGTGGTGGTAGATGGATACATACAGGACGGCGGCGCAAGAGAAGAGCAATTTTAGAATGCAAATGAACGATTGTGGATGAAAACGTTGCGCAAACATAGTAACCAACGACGGGAGGCTTTTCACCTCTCACTGATCCACCCCCGTGTAGCCGAGCAACATTTGCTTTGCTTAAGGCATCGCCATCAATCCACCATCCCCCCATCCACCCATCACACAACGACCAAAAAAAGACGGAAAAACAAAAATCGCATTTTTCTCTCCTAACCCCTTCATGTCCCTTCCTCCCTCCCCCCCGTCCCCCCATCCACCACCATTACTAAATCTCATCATCATCGTCATCATCGTCGTCGTCGTCGTCATCAGCGCTCTCCCCCACTTCGCCAACCCTCGTCCCTCCCTCCTTCCCCTTTCTTTTCTACGTACTCCGCGTTGTCTTCGCGAAACGCTCCCAGCCAGCCCTGCACAATCTCGACAACGCGGCCCTGCAAAAACGGCTTCGAAAGCACCACGTCGGCCCCCGCCGCGTGCGCGTCTTCCTCCTCCGAGCGCGACGATAGCGCCGTGAGGGCGACGACGAGGGCTGTCGCGGTGGACGCGGGAGAAGCGCGAGACGCGGTGGTGCAGTGGCAGGAGGAGTGAGATGGCAGCGGCGTGGGTTCCGAGGGCGATGAGGATGAGCTGGTCTCCGGTGGGAGGGCGGCGGCGGCCGCGGTGTTGGCAGGTGGTGCGGAGGGGGAGCAGTGTTGTTGTTGTTGTGATTCGATGGCTCGGATGGCGCGGGTCGCGGCGAAGCCGTTGAGGACGGGCATCATCATGTCTGGTTGGTTTCTTTGCGTCAGTGTATGTGGGGTGTGCGGGCGGATAATCGAGGCTCGGGCGAAAGAGGGCTAGGGTTGGCCAAGTTCCATGTGATTATTCAACACAGAGGGAGTGGGAGTAGGTACTCCGGTATAGGAAGCAAGAAGAAAGGGGGCAACGATGCCCCTGGAATACCTCCAGGGGGTCCACCTCCAACGCATGCACCTACCCATGAAGATAATATCAAACGCCGCACCCTGCCCTCGCGCTCGCTCAAAGGCTTCGACTGCCTGCTCCCCATTCCGCGCCGTCTCGTAGTTCACAAAGCCATGCTTTTGCATGATCTTGCCCAGCAGCATCAGATTGACATCGTTGTCGTCGACGAGGAGCAGACGCGGACGTGCTGAGGAAGATTGCTCCTGACGCTGCTCCTCTACAGCCATCGCCATCATGCTGCCCGGCCTGGTTGCAGTCGTGGGAGTCGAAATGGGCGAGTCGTATTGGCTGTCCCGCTTGCGGCCGTCCGGCGGGAGAAGTACCGGCGGCGAAGATGAGGGTTTGAGCTGAGGTATTTGGGTTAGCAGAGACGTTGGGTGCTGTTGATTTCCGTTCCCCTGTGCTAGGTTTCCGCAGTATCGCGGACGTTTGGTTGGGGACGGGGCGTCGTATGGATCAGGGGATGGTGGGACGACTTCCATGCGCTCCATGGGTAGAAATGTGGACTGGAAATGTATTGATTTGCTTGACAACGGATTGCTCAGTGGGTCCTCTAGACAAGCGAGGAGTGATTTGGCGAGCTTGTTGGGGCCAATTGGTCGACAGGCTGTCTTTTGTACGCGGAAACCGTGGTCGAATTCGCCTGAAATACGTCGTAATGAGGGACTCATGCCTATGCCGAGTAATGCCATTTTTCCAGCGTCGCACTGGAGCTTGGTGACTTCTGTGATGTCCTGATCTGTTTGCTCCACAATCAAAATGTCTGGTTCGCAGGCTTCCTCTTCTGGGTCTTGGACAATTGCTTGAAACCAGTCGCGCAGGTACATGTTCAAAGAATCCTTTATCATCGACGGGAGTCCCAATACGGCGACTTTCGGTTGCTTCTTTCTGAGCAAAGAAATTGCACGGTCAGCTGGTGTAATGGTGGGACTCGAGTTGCAGAGACTGCCCTCAACCATCGGGATAGAAACGGTGATGCTGCTGCCTTTGCGCGGTTGGCTGCGGACGTGAATCTTGCCGTCCAAAAGCGCAACAAGACTCTTGACGATCGACATGCCCAATCCGACACCTTGGCTTGCCATGCCAGAGTCTTCTTGTGTGAACGGGACAAAGAGGTGTTTCTCCAGAAAATCTCGGGACATGCCTTTTCCTGAGTCCGTAACAGTAAAGACCACGTGTTTCACGTCGTCTTTGACGGGAATCACAGAATCTTCCAAGACTTCGTTCCTGTTCCATATCGTCTTCGGACTAACGATGGGCGAGCAAGGCGACTCGGATTGATCTCGATTTGCGGCGTTATTGGGTTTCGAAGGCTTCTCGAAGCTTTGTCCTTCTTCGACGTGGAGAGAGACTTCGACGAAACCTTTCTTCGTGTACTTGAGCGCGTTGCCAATGATGTTGGACATGACTCGGCGGAGTGCCCCAGGTTCAGTCAGAAATCTCCAATTCTCTCGCCATTGGATGTCCATGGTGACCACAACATCGTCCATTGAATTTGGATTGTTGTAGACGTGTCCGCCGGCTGTCACCTCAACCGTTTCCTCACACAGAGTGGCAATGTCGGTGGTGGATAAAAGCCCGTAGCTCGTGCGATCAGACTTTTTGCAAATTTCCGATGAGAACTGGTTCTGACCACATGCTTCTGGTCTTTTGCGACGGCGCTCAAACTGGTTGATTTGTGCGTACGAGAGGACACTGCTCAGTGTATCATGTAGCGTAGTTCCACATGATCGAATGCTCTCAGCCAAACCTTGTTGGAAGCTGTCCAGCTGTGTTTCTCCGAAAAGTTCGACGGCGCCGAGGATTCCATGAAGAGGTGTTCTGAGTTCGTGGCTGACCGCAGAGACAAAAGCCTCTTGCTGCTTGACTGCGGCGACCGTATCTATCCGAGAAATTTCGGCTTCGACAGCATGCAAGAATCCACGGAGTGGTCGAATGTCAGAGTCAGGTGTGAAGATGGGAGATAGCTGTTTTGTCCAAGCGAAGCATCCTGCTAAGAGCTTGAGACTGATCGGATCCATCAGAGGGGCAAAGATCAACTGTCGGGCCTCGGGAAACGCACGACACAGTTGCATGAAATCATCTCGAGGATGAGCTGCCCTCAACTCTTCGCCAGAAAAGGTAAAGGGTTTATGGTCCTCTTCAATGTACCAAATGTTTCCGCCTGGATACCTGTCGAGAAGGAGTTGAAGAAATCCTTCGTCGACGTGATCTAAGCCAAAGGCCATGTCAGATGGCTCCTTTGCAAACGGTTCACCATAGGAATCCCTGGACCAAAAACCGAGACTTTCTCCAGGGTGTCTGGTGAGGTTCTTCTTTTGGCAATCCGTGCTAGCAAAGATCCTCTCGCCTGGGGACTCGCTCCTCTGACGGCGTTGCTGTGATTTGCATGGGCGAGGAGGGCTTTTGCCATTGGTCGATGGTCTTCTCTGGAGCGTCAAGTCTGCAGATCTTGACCTTGGCTTTCGAGCCGCATCTTCCCGGAATCCTTGGTCCGGCTCTGCCGTCGAGGAAAAGGATCCTTTTAAATTGACGACGCCATTGACGAACAAAACACCATCTACATCCAAAGCTTCTCCGAGTGATTCTGCGGCCCTCCGAAAGACGCTTTGGTAAGTTGTCTCTGAAGGTCGCTTGGGAGGACTTCCGTTAGATTTCGAGCAGTCGTTGGACATGTGTGAGTTCTCGGGTTGCTGGCTTGATGAAGTTGAAGTGTGTGGACCGGGAATTGCTCGCGTCGGGGCATCATCGTTCTGGTTCGCCATGGCCAGGCCATTACACGCTGTCGAGCTGCGGTGCTTGCCCCAGGAACCCAAAGATGGGCGCTTTTCCTGCACTTTTGAAAACAACGATCGATACTGGATGAAGGAGCCAAGGCTTCCACAGATGCGGTCAACGCGCTGGCGGAGATAGATTTGTCGTGTACTTTCCAATTGAGACATACACTTGTTGGCCACCGAAACCAAAAACTCCAGGTCGTCGGCGGAGACACCATCTCGACCCTTTGAATTGTCGAGAATGAAAAGCGTCCCAATTTTGATCCCAAGTTTTGTGGTCAATGGGGCGGCAGCGTAATGTCGCAAGTGCGGTGCCTCGGAGACGCATGGCAAGTCAGCCGTCCGGTCATGGTGCACCAGGTCAACAGCAAAGGCTCCGTTGGCCAACAGAGGCCCGGGTGCTTGTCC